TTATTATTACACTTTACCTAATAATAGCTTCAGTTTATAGTACTAATTATGCTAATTATTGCTTACACGTGACAGAAAATTAACGGCACTTAATATAACTGGGGGAAGACGAATTGCAATCGATATCAAGAATGACGAATAGAGTGACTATTCGGTAAATATTTTTATCTTTTATAAGAGTTATCATACCTTACAATGAACTAACCGATTCGTCACAGACAATTGAAATTTTTTAATATTAACAGTAACACTAATAATGAATTAAAAACGTTTTCCGCCAAAATTTTCTCATTCTCTTATTATAATCTTTTTGATAAATTTTCAAAAAAATTTTGCCAATTAGTTATTTATTTAATTTATACTATTTATTTAATTTAGTTCAATTTACTTATCTCCGAAGTAATAGAATAAAGTAATAGCTTTTAGAAATATGTAATGAGAAATTTTTACTATAATCCGTAATAATACTATATTATTGTAACTAAAATTTTATAATTTACTTTAATTTAGCAAATACTTATAATGGGATCTTAATTAAATTTTTGTCGTATAATAATAGTAATTACTAACTTTTAATTGATCAATATTAAGCTATTTTTTTTACAAACTTTAGATACTCGTGAAAATATTATACAATTAATTTAATGAAATGAAATTGTTGTATATTATGCAGATGATTGTAATATATTTTTCTTAAACGTTATCCTTGATATTATACCTCATTCTTAAATATACACATATAGACTTAAGTGATTTATAATTGATTAGATTTATTCTAAATATCACATTTGCCATAATTAGTTTTCTACCTACATTATGTCTCGTGGAATTAAGTTTATTAATATACTTGTATTGTGCTCATGCTATCGTTTTCAATAAAATCTTACTAATTGAAGAATTTGAAATATTCATTAAATAATTGAATGGAAGCGTTAATACATATATCATACATAATAGATAGAATATCATTAATATTCAATGTATGTATGTATGGGCGTATAAATTTTATTAAAAATAGATTTACTTTCAGTAGTTTGGAATAGAATTTCGAAAGAATGGTATCACAATTGAATTTTAAACTTACGAACATATCATTATCTTTCATTATTATTTAATTTCTTATGCATACTTACATCTATCCTATTAATAATTATAATTACTTTCAAAAACAAGTAGTTCCACTCGATATTTTTCAACACTCGCGCATATTAATTAAATAACTCTGCATCATCGGTTTGACGTTTATTTGCAATCATTAACAATAGATTTATCAATAAATGTATTAACAATAAATGGAAATGTATATGAAAGCAATTACGTTAGCTTATTCATTAATGTTTTATCAGAATGGATAAAACTACTATTGTACTTTCTTATAACATTACTGTATTATTATTGGCTTGCAGAATTTAATCATTTAATAACGCTGCAAACTGGGTTACTTGCTTTCATTATAATCTAATGCCCTTGCTCACTAGAATTAATTGATATTTAATAATAAACAAATTAATAAATAAGTAAACTGATGCAGATACATGTGCATTGATATTATTCTCTGGTGGATCGATTTTATTTTGAGATTTGTGCAAATTACAACGTAATATGAAGCGAATCAACCGTTGAAAATCAAAATTGAAAATATAATATAACGATGAGTGTGCGTCGACGAATCAATGATTTACTCACTACTTTATCATATGAAATATTAAAATTCAGTTAATTTAGAAAAGAATTGATTTCATGTGTTAATGAATTTAAATGTGATATGTTTTTTTTTTTAATTATAGATAAAAGCGCAGCGAAAACTTATTGCCCCTTTGTACCTGTACAGAAATATCAAAAGTTCAAAACTTGTCGCTGATACGAAGGAAAATAATCTGAGAATGTGATTTGATTTTTCATATCGATAACTTTTTAAAAAGCATACCTTATTCAAAATTATATTTTATCTGACTTTCTGGTTTTTGTTTTTTTGTTTTTTTTTTTTTTTTTTTTTTTTTTTTTAATCTCGCTATAATAATAAGAAATATAGTAATAAGAAGATACTAATGGTAATGAAATTGTAGATAATAAAACGAAACGATTCCACGGCAAATTTCTAAGGAATATTTTTTATCGCCAAACCATGGTATTTTAAAATGGACATGTAAACGGCGGATTTCGCAATTCGTATTCGAGTTTTAAGAGAAGTCAAAATATATTACAGAAGCCTCAAGAATGAAGTATAACGCATTGATATTACATGCCGCATTCTTGCGGAGAAACGAGGATACTCTTCGTCACATATCATTGTACGCGCATAATGGGCACGTCATCTTTTTATGCATATTTTTCTCACAGTTTCTAAAAATGAAATGTTAGCGACTTACTTAGCTACAAGGAAGATTAATTCAATGCTCCCTACGTAAGATAGGCAATGCGCTAAAGGTCCATTCTCCTCTGCCTGAGCAATAGTTTTCACTCATTTTAACTCATTCACCGAGTCTCGAGCTTGAAATTCGTTTTATAAAACCGAGGCTCGTGTTTGGAAAACAAACTCGCGAATCAATGGACATTGTAGCTCTCACTACTTACTCAATATTTGCACTTGGATTTCGTTGCTGCTGAAGCCGAGGGCTGAGAGTTCGAACACGGCTGGACTGCCGGCTGGGACGAGTCTCACCGAGTCCCCGACGACCGACATCTTGGGGCTCGGCATTATGCCCACCTTCCAAGGTGATCCTGCAACGTACAAACACATTGTTCATCACTTTTAATAAATCAAAATTCCCACCAAGTCTCATCATTTCAAAGCTATGCGCGCTACGTTTTATCCTTGTTAATTTTTTTGTTTGTTTTTTTTTTTCCTTTTTCTTTCTTTTTTTTTTTTTTTCGATGAAATTTTTTCTTTTAGTTTTTTTTTTTTTTTATTTATTTTTAGCCCGTTTACCAAGAATCTGATGCTTTAAAAGACAGACGTAAACTGATAATATGAAACGAAAAACACTTGGTCTAGCTCGTTGGGTTACGCAATTGCTATCCAAATTATGAGTCGCTTATACGAAATTACGTATGCACATTCAAGGAAAGGAATCACGAATCCAATCGAATTACTGTGCGAGAAAGCTGATAATTTCGCTTCGCCAGCAAGGCACTGATCACGATTTGTTTGCCACAACCAAGTCTACGGATACAGGTGTTACAGGTGAGTCTCGAGGCTCCTTAAGAATCGCAACATCCGATTTCTTAATTTCCTGACCTGTGGTGCAGGATTTCCATAGTGTGCAACAAATGGATTTGGATCTTATTGCGATAGCGCGAGACATTCTAAAGGAGCGATCATATAATAGATGATAAGGGTATTTATTAGTGTAATTGATTCTTTTAGATGTGCAGTTATTGCGGATCAACCACTCGTTCAATCACTACGATTAAAATTTCAAAACTCCATCTCGGTTAAGTCTGCGATGGAAACACTCGCGCGAGAGCACTGACTGAATTTAATAAAATTTTTAATTGTTTTTATTTGAAAGAAAATATAAAACATAAATGAATGAATAACAAAAGCAAAGTACAATCGACAACCTATTTACGGGCCAGTGCGCGCGCATCGATTTTTCATGTACGTGTTCGATAACAGTCTGTATCACCCCTCGACATATAAGTATCGAGAGGTAACGGGACACTGAAAGCGGTCACTGGAGGCGAACAACACTCGTATTTACGTCCACAATCTGGAAACTGCCAAGCTGCTTTACCTGCTCGGATCAGCCGCTGTTACAACAGATCCTGGAAGGTTTCGGAAATCGCAGGTATACGCGGATACCGTCTCGCGGGGGGTGGCGCGTAGTAAGATTAGAAGGCAGGGGGCGGGGAGGGCAGACGGACGGGCACGGACGATTCAACCGGCGATACTAGAGGAAAATCGTGGAGGTATGGGCGCGGCGGCCACGGTTGTTCACATTCCCGAAGTCTGGCGTCGTATAGCGTCGTCGGTAGGAGTATTTGCCCATAATACCGGAGGATTAAAGCGACGCGAGGATGTTGACAGATAAATAGTTAGATAGAGAGAGAACGAGAGAGAGAGGGAAGAGAGAACGAGAGAGAACGAGAGAGAGAGAGAGAGAGAGAGAGAGAGAGAGAGAGATCGTTGGGGGGATAAGAGTAGGACACACACGTCGGCACCTCCAAGGGGACTCGACCGCGACTTCCTTCGAGGCTCGCGGCGACGTGTCGCGAAGACTGGCGGATACTGACCGTCGAGTGCCAGCCAGCAGTGAGACCCAGAGGACGCCACCGTCGTTCTGGGCCCCCGAGATGCTGGCTAGGGCCGTACGCAATGTAAGGGGGCCTCACGTTCGTCGCCCGCGGCCTTTTAATCGCGGACCCATCTTAGAGAGAGAGAGAGAGAGCGAGAGAGAGAGGGAAGAGAGAACGAGAGAGAGATGGGGGGGGGGGATTGAATGAGAGCGCGGTCGAGAATCTTCCTTCGAAGATAGATTCATGCCTTAAATATGTGCTACGCTATTTAAACGCTCTGGCGAACACTGATTATCAGATTATACATACACACGTGGTGTTGTATGAGATTCGCGGGGAACTGGCCGGTAATATTTTCGTTTATTTCTTGCATTTGTACGTGTCACCATTAAGTAACGTGACATATAAATTGAGATCGTATTAATTGAGAGTGTAGTGGATCGTTCGGCGTATCATTAATTATTTTCAATAGTCGTTATAGTTAAACGGAATTTTCTGAGCGCAATGCTGAGTCGACGAGTTGTTTAAAGTTACATTGCAAAACTCACAGTCGCCTAAGCTACTTATTTTTTTTTAGAAACATCGGATCGAGCATTGCAAAAAATCAGCACTTACAAGCACTCGATAAGCCAATAGAGAATTATAAATGTTAGAATAGTGGGTAAAAAGAGAAAAGTAAAGAAAAAAGATAAGGAATCGATGGAAATTAACGTGGCGAGCTTTTTTTCTAGCTTAAAGAGAAATTTGAGTTGAATTAAAGAAAGGTTCGCGATGAGATTCCGTGGAATCTCAGTGATATACGGATGCGCGGAATGTCACATCACGAGCTTTGTACACTTACGGCCGAGAGGATGATAAAATGTCTCGGTTATTAGTGAAAGCGTGTTAGTAGGGTAATAATAGGTGCTCGTTATATATCCCAGGCGCGAAGAAGCTTCTCGATCAGAGATTGCGGACTCGAGGGAAAGGTTCGATTTTCGGATAAAAATTGCCGCGATCCTGTTGACGTAGATGCAGAAGGTCGGATAATGCGGCAGAGAAATATTCGGCCAGACGGGGGCGTCGACGCACATTCACGACGGTTCTGCTTTCCCATTGTATTCCCGTGCGGCGGCCCCGCATCTATGCCAGTGGCTCTCAAATCGAGCATTTCCCCTTTCGGCATCCAGCTCTCCATTCGCGGCCAAGTTTCTTGCTCCCGACACCCCCCCCCCCCCAACCCCCGCCCCGCCCCAAATCCCGTACCGTACGACCGCCTCACTCCATCTCCTCTCTCTCTCTCTCTCTCTCTCTCTCTCTCTCTCTATATATATATATATATATATATATATATATATATATATCTGTGTCTCTGTCTCACGATACGTTTGTATGCGCATATGTGCGACACTCCGTGTGTGCGCACAACATTTAATTAATATACGTGAACTCAGGTGGGGGTCGTCGACTTTTTAAGGTAACCCTATGCTCACGGCTTATTATTAGATCACTGCCCACGTGAATTATTGAGTGATTATTGTTTAATCGGAGTGTGTAATAAGACGCGTCCGAAATCATAAATGAAAAATGCCATAATGATAATGAAACAGAAAAAAATTAAACTAATAATTAAACTAATATTCGTACAAAACCATTTTTGTTTGCAAACTATACTTTATACGGTTCATATAATGTATTGTAGTTAGTAATATTATATAACTCAAATAACACAGATGATTGAAGGCAATAATAATTATAATATGGAAATGTTTTTTTAATCAGCAAATATGATATCGCAATATGTTGAGCAAAAATGCTTAGAAAAAAGTGTAGTTAAAAATGAATGTCTAAATAATCAGATCATAATATCCAAATAATTATTTTCATTGAATTACCATTACGTTTAAAGTTGAAAATTTGTCTTTAAAATTATCTTTACGTAAACATGATGAAACATTCGTTCATCTAATACAAAATATCAAATTTTTATAAATTACAATTCCCCTACAGTTATATAACTTATTAAAATTATTATCCTTACGTGAAATATTATTTTCCTTAAAATTTCGTATCTTTAGATGTAGGAAGAATATAAAGTCAAATATATTCGTGAACTATTATTATATTTTTATAGAAATTAGATTAATAAAGTACAATTATAATGAAGTTAAATCAGACGATAATTTGATTTGCTTGAATTGGATATTTAACTTTATATAAAATAACGTCGATCTATTTAGAGTAATGTTGATAAAATTGAGTTTAAATTCAAATGAATTACACCTAGTACTTGATAAAATTACAACAACATTTTTTAAGGATGAAAAAAAATGAATTTTTAGTGAAATTCAAGTGAATATTGAGACTAATAGAAACGTTATTGGGGCATACACACACACACGCGCGCGCGCACACACATATATATATATATATATTTATTTATTTATATATTACGTACGCTCGTTTGTAAACATAATAATGGCGGATCAGGAAAGTGGAACAATACTAGATGTAGGGGAAGATAATGATAAGAACAATAAAGTCGAGGCATGTGGGAGGATGAAAAATATTTGCGAGTAAAGTATAATCGAAAGCGAGAAATCCAGGAAGTAGAGGAGAATAAAACTTAAGTGAGTGGCGCGATTGCTACTGCATTCCCCAGGTATAACGGCTCTTAAGACGTGTATCGAAGCTGTTCTCTCTCTCTCTCTCTCTCTCTCTCTCTCTATCTTCTTGCTACTTATATATGTTTTTTCACTTCGGAATTCTCACTCTTTTCGAGTATTCTTCAATTTTGTTGTCACTAATTTTGTTGTGAACATGGTAACTTTGATTTTATGGATAAGATGATCGTAATATTTTCAGTTTCGATAAATACTCAAGGATAAATTACATTTACATTTAAATTTTAACAATTATTTAATATCTATAATATTGATGATTGTTTATAATAAGCAATAAATGATAAAAATAGCGACAGTGTTACAACGAATTTTGAATAAAATAAATAAAGGATAGGAATTGTCTCGGACACGGTTGAATAAATTAGAATAAAAAACATTTCCTTGATTTGAAATTTAATTTTAATGACTTTATATGATAATTTGAATATTACTAATAATTTCATAAATTGAATTTTTTAAAATGACGTTCTTCATAATTATTAAAACAAAGATACAATTTAGCATTTTAGACATTTGATTTTTATTTATATTCAAGGGAAACTTTTTAAATTATTCTTTAATATTATTTCTAAACTAAATTTTAATATATTTAAAAGTAGATTTTCTTAGTATTTTGAAAATTTATTCGTGTTTTTATATCTATATAATTCTTAAACATAATAGTATTTTATAATATTTATTGGGCTCAGTCACGTTAATTTAAAAATGTTAAAATTCTACAATAAAAATGATCGATTCAGGGTTTTATTCAATAAATATAAATATAATAAATTGTTTATAAAGAGAATTTTACTGTAAAAAATTCAGTTATAACGTATT